TCCTACCTAACTCAAACTATCTCCTAATTTATTTCTTTAACATCCTCAACATACTTGTTTTATATTCTGCAACAATTAACTAACATCTCTAGTTTCTGTGAGTCTCATTCTGGAACTGGCTCCAGTGTATTTTGTGAGTATTGTTTTTATTGTGAGCTCCTGTTCAATGGAACCTTATATGCAGGGTTTCTTTTGACTTTTGAGTGAAGGTACATTCCTCTGAAGAGGATTTGCATTTGCTTTCTCTAAACATAGAAGGGCACATTATTCTGGAAGCATACTAAAATAAATTCCTGGCTGGGGGTTTTAGACTACAAAAATAGTATCAGTTCAGGCCACAAACACATGTGAGATCAGGCTTATAGTTAAATCTCCAGAGGAATTTTCTTCTTCTTCTTCTCTCTACCCAGGGCCAAAGCCAAGACAAACAAGTTTTTTTTACTGGGACCCTTTGCAAGGCATTTTTTTCCCTAGTTCATCTTTTCTCCAAGGGTGTTACTTCAGGGCTCTCAGCTTCATGCAGTGACCTCCTTCCAAACACCCCATCTTGCCGTGACCCTAGACTTGGTGTCCTGAAACCTGAGTGCCATTTAAGTTGATTTGCTAGATCAGGACACCAGCTCAGGGTTCATTCACCTCTCAGAATGTCCTCTGGGAAAAATTAAAAAAAAAAAAGGGGGGGATCCCTGGGTGGTGCAGCGGTTTAGCACCTGCCTTTGGCCCAGGGCATGATCCTGGAGACCCAGGATCGAGTCCCACGTCGGGCTCCCGGTGCATGGAGCCTGCTTCTCCCTCTGCCTGTGTCTCTGCCTCTCTCTCTCTCTCTCTCTCTCTCTCTCTGTGACTATCATAAATAAATAGAAATTAAAAAAAAAAAAAAGAATGTACTCTGGGATTTTGCTTTTGGACTCTGAGGACTTCCCTTCCTTAATTCCAGCTTCCTTTATTCAGTCATGCATCTTAAAAGACTAAGAAAAAAATTTTACCCAGAATTTTTAGATATTTGGTAACAAGAAGGATTTTCGGGTGCCTGGGTGGCTCAATGTTAAGCATCTGCCTTCAGCTCAAGCCGTAATCCCAGGGTCCTAGGATTGAGCCCCCATGTCAGGTTCCTGCTTCATGGGGGGTTCCTGTTCTCCTCTCCCTCTACCCCTTTCCCCTGCTTGTGCTCTGTCTCTCAAATAAATAAATAAAATCTTTTTTAAAAAAGGATTTTCATAATATCTGTGCATCACTTTTTTTTTTTTTGGTCGAAAATACAGAACTATCTCTGCAATCCTACCAGAGGCGTCCTTGTAAAGCTAGAAATTCAATTCCATGTTTGCCCCCACGACTAGCCCTTAATAATCCATGTTGGACTCATTTCAACACAAATACATCCTAAACCTCTCATGTCTCATATTTTCTGCCACTCAGCCAGCTCCAACTTTTATTTCTCTGCTGTCTCCAAGGCCTTTTCTGAATAGGTTGTATTATATTATGCTGTTTTTTAAATGTTTATGGCTTTTCCCCAGTTTCTGAGCTTTTTATATTTTCTGATGTTTGCTCTGGGAGAGAAGGCTCACAGCTTTGCCCTTCTTCAGATTCACCTGGAAATGGGGGAAGCAGGGGCAGGATGGGTGTGTGAGGAAGGATTAACTCCTAGGACCATTCTCATTGCCTTTCTCAGTCTTGTCTTGCCTTTTAAAATTTAACTCAGCACTACAATTCTGACTCCGCCAGCAGCCATTCTATGAACAGAGATCTTTTCTGCCCAGTTTCCCGATCTCTTTTTTTGTTGTTGTTTGATGCAATCTGTCTCCTTCTTCAGTGTATTTACTAACCTTGACTTTTCCCTGAAACTCTTCCCTTGATTCATAGTTTCCATCAACTATGAAACCATTACCACCATGAGGCTCCTGGAGGTTGAGTCATTGCAGTCCCACCCACAACTCTGGTACTGGTCCCCCTCCCCCGCACCCCCTGGGAGATGTTTGGGGGACAGCTGGAGGGCCCCACAAGCCTGGGCTTCTGTGTTTGACACTCCCACATGCTGTGGAACCTGCTGTTTCCACCCACACTGGGATCATGTTTGTTCTGCAGAGCATGCACTGGGGACCTCTCTGTAGTCAGTCCTAATGGTGAGATGGGTGATGTTTGCCTTGATTTATCCCATCAACGCTGAGGCCAGGGTGGGGCACTAGCTGTTGGTAAAGGCGACGTTTCTTCCAGTTGGGAGAATGAACACTTGTTCATCTGGACTTCCTTTGTGATACGTGTCTATCACTGCATGTAGATATACAAGAGCATTTACAATTCACTTTTAAAAATCTCTGGTGTTAAATGACCAATACCTTAATATTTATATCACTGCTGCTGGTGTTGCTCTTGTCACCGTGATAGTAATTACAGAGTAGCTTTTATTTATTGGGTGTGAACTGTGTGCTAGGCTTTATGCTAATAAATCATTTCATTCTTACAACTGTCCTATGGGGTATGGATCATTATCATTATCATCCTCATTTTACAGATGAGAACGTGAAGGTTCAGAGATGTCAAGTAACTTGCCAAGGTCACATAGCCAATAAGTGGCCGTGCTGGCACTCAAAACTCAAGCCTTCTAAACCCAGTCCATGCTCACAAGCCTTTCATCTATCAGGATAGAAATATTCAGATTTCTGATCTATGACTATGAGCTGTTTTACAGAAGCTAGAACTTAAATTCACATTCGTTCTGCCCTTTAAAGTAACACATCTGAAAGTATATAATACCATGCTACCTGCCATCATGCAGAATTGGTTTTGGAATTCCTTTGTAAGAACTGCTTTCAGAACCAGTGTGTGTAATGTAAGAAAAGCAATTTATTTTTGCTTGATCACCTACATTATTTATCAGATTTTATTCTTAATGCCTTTTGACAATTTCCAAAATGGTAATTTTGGAAAATTTGAGGATGGAGATTTGTCACCCATGAGGACATCCAGAAGAAGCTTCCTGGGGGAGTGGAGACACTTCCTAAGAGGCTCCAGCATGTTCTCAGCAATGTCAGCATTTTGAAAATAAGAGCTTGGCCTCCCAGGGTGATCACTTTGCAGGGGAAGCACTCAGCTATACATTTGCATTCTGGTGTATTTGTTTACAATTCAACCTGTTACTTCACAGATATACTTAAAGTTGATTTGATGTGGAATGAAGTCTGTTTACACAAATATGCATCTAACAAAAATCCTTTTGCCTACTGCATAGAGGAAAACATAAGACTTTCCTTGTCTGCTGGTCTCAGAAAGTCTGCTGATGTCAACAGTGAAATTGGCTCTGTTTTGATAAGAATTCTGTGCTGTTCCTCTTTATATCTTAAAATTAGGAAATATTGACTTGTGGAATTGGACAGATGGTGAGTAGGCCCCCATTCCTCTTCAAGGAAAAAATAATCAGTTTTCTGCTTCCCCAGCAAAGGGTGATGATCCCTCCGCTAAATACATCTCCAGCAACACTTCAAGCATCATTTTTAAAATGCTTATTCTTTTTTCTTTTCTTACAGTGAAGGTTAAGGTCAAAGCTTCAAGCCTCATCTTAATTAGCTGCTCACACTGAACTTAATTCTGCTGAAGTAAACAATCATATTCAAAATAGCAGTGTCGCCATAGCAACCTAGATCCGGAATCATTTGATTTTCTTTTCTGCTCATGATTGTGCCTTACTATCTAGGCCATGATATGAAATAAATCTGCTGAAACATCCCATGTAAAATGAGATTGAAAAAAAACATTTGTCGAGAGACAGACAGAGAGAGAGAGAGAGAGAGAGAGAGGCAGAGACACAGGCAGAGGGAGAAGCAGGCTCCATGCAGGGAGCCCGACATGGGATTCGATTCCGGAGACACCTGGAGGGGGACATTTTTAAATGATTGCTTTAAGTGTTGCAGGAAAGCTCCTCATTCCCAATGGCTCCTGAGGGAGATACTGTCTCCGGTCCCCTGGTCTGACAGCCTTGCCTCTTAGTACCCTCTCAGGGCTCGAGGTGCCAAAGCACCCATGAGCTGTGCCCCAAAACCTGGACAGGGTCAGGGGATCCAAGGTCTTGGTCCAGCTCTAGCTAGCATAGTCTGGTCCTGAAAGTGCAAGAGAGTTGAACCAAATCATTCCCCCTGGCTTTTCTAGCTGTAAAGGGGTCAGGTTCTGATCCTTTAATTTGGCTTTTACTTAACAAAATGCAAAACGAAGCTGTTTTAAATCAAGCCTCAGGCTAAACCTTCATCTCCTACTAAAGGAGAGAATTGTTAAGCATTTTTAGGATCTGGGCCTGTGATTCCTAAACTTGTATTACCAGAATCATCTAGGGAGAAACCCCTGCCTGGCTTTTCCACAGCCAATGTGGAAAGCTATCATTGGTCCTAATTATGGCATATGTTAGATGTTAGCCACAGGAAGATCACTTTAGTTAAGAAAGTTAATAAGCAGATTAGACTTTTCTGTGGTCTCTTCACCCACCCTCTCGTGAGGTGATTCTGGAGACTCGATCTTTGTCTCAATTTTCTTGCCTGGAAAATGTGGCTCTGGTAAGCCGGCTGGTTTCCTTGCCCCTGGATCTTGCTTAGTGCGTGACTTTTTTACTAAATGGAGCAGAGACACAGCGTCACTTTTTGGAAGCCATAAACTGACACTGTGAAGGTTGTCTTCCTTGAGAAGATTTGCCATTAAAAGAAAAACAAACCCGGAGCTCTTTTTCCCAGCCTCAGACTGGGATATTCTAGTCATGAGATCAAGTGGAGAAAAGTCACAAAGATACTGTTTTTCTCTGTGATTCATCTTGCATGCCATTAAAAAGAAGATAGAAAAGAGACAAAGCCCAGTAGAAGGGTGGTAAAGAATGTGAATTTTTCACAGTTCAGGAAATCCATGTGGCCGCTAAGTATCAGAAGAGCAGCAGTGCAGCCATTTCGAGTGTGGAGGGAAATGTGACCCCGAGTAAGGAGATAGGATTGGAAATGCCCAACCAGATCAGAGTTTAGCAAAGTTACAGAGAAATAGGGAAACCGAGGTCCTGCTGGTGGGAGTGCCACGGCCACTTTGGAGAGCGATTTGGCAGGTTCCGGTGAACTCGAAAACGCACATTCCTTTCGACTCAGCCCTTCTGCTACTGGTCCAGAGAAAGTCTGCATGTCCACCAGGAAGTGGGTACTGGGGCTTCACTGAGGCCTTGTTTGTGATGGGAAGAATTAGACACAACCTCCATGTCCATCAGCAAGAGAATGAAATGGATGAAAAATAATGCCATATGTTCTAATATTAGAATACTATAAAGCAGATTCACATGTATTATCAACAATGGCTGGAAGTAAAACTTCATAAAGTGGAGGGGAAAAAAGCAAAACTTTGTATATGGAAAATAAAATGACCATCACACAAAGCAACACTATAATGTATGCAAAGTATAAAAATGAGCTGGAAAGTGTGCTTGGCTGGCTCCGTAAGTAGAGCCTGTGACACTTAGATCTCTGAGTTGTGAGTTCCAGTCCCATGCTGAGTGTAGAAATTACTTAAAAATAAAATCTTTAAAAACAAATAGTAAAAAATAAATAAAAATGACCTGGAAGGAATGAATTTCCATGTGGAAGTGGGCAACTTTGATTAAAATATTTCCTTTTTTGTTGTTTTATTTTTATTTTAATTTCAGTGTAGTTAACACAGTGTTATATTAATTTCAGGTGTATAATATAGTGATTCAACACTTTAACAACACCCGGTGCTCATCAAGACAAGTGCACTGCTTAATCCCCATCACCTGTTTCACCCATCCCTAAAATGTTTACTTGTTTAATAAGAAAAAAGTCTTGAAGCAAATATGACAATATGGCAGTTGTCATTTTGGAGTGGTGTGAACTTGGATATTCTAGTTCTCTGTAATTTTCAGAACACTTTAATTGCTTAAGAAAATATAAAATGCCAAGGTAAAAGTGAGATCGTTTACAAATCAGATGGCAGAGATGAGCCTTATCAATTTCCCTGGGCACTTAATTTTAGGGCTCTTCACCCATCACACATATTTTTGGGTTTTTCCAGCCCTCATTATCTTTCTCAGCAGTTGCCTTTTAGAGGACCCTAGCTTCTGCCCGTTGCTTATGTTCACAATTAGGATGAAGGGTGACAGCATATGCCACCTCCCCTCTGGGTGATTCATCAGGATTAGCTTTCAGATGTAAACAAGTACAGGCTCTGACTGAGGTTTCAAAAGCACCTGACCAGACCATCCATCCTTTGAAGTGTTAATTTGGATTAAATATCTTGCTATCCACATCCTGCCACCACCCCTCTGTCAGTCTGTGGGTTTTGTCCTTTAAAGGAATAGTTGCAAATTCTAAAATGTACAAGTTGCAGATGGCAGGGTTGCTATCAGGCAAAAGAAGGCAGTAAGCTTATCGATTTTTTTGTCATTAATTTTATGTTATTAAAGAGACAGAGAGTAAAGTATCTTAGAACGCTAATGCTGGTGTTATTTTTTTTTTCTTTTTTGAAGATTTTATTTATTTATTCATGAGAGACAGAAAGAGAGAGAGGCAGAGACACAGGCAGCGGGAGAAGCAGGCTCCACGCAGGGAAGCCCGATGTGGGACTCGATCCCGGGACTCCAGGATTGCGCCCTGGGCCGAAGGCAGGCGCTAAACCACTGAGCCACCCAGGTGCCCCCAGTTATTACACAGTGGTGGAAAACCACATGAAACCAGAAAGAGGAATCAGAGTAAGTTGGTATAGTGAATTGAGGCCCTTTCCTTGCAGAGCAGAAACCAAATAGTTCTCGGACAGCTGGCAGATAGGAGAAAAGACTGCTGTGAGCACAAAGAGTAAGGAAAGGAGGATTGTCTTGGAGGACAGTAGGAAGTTTAGGGGGGGGGAAAAGGTGTGTAGACACCATATTATTTAGCCCACAGCCTGGAATTATCTCTGGCACCAAAAAGTGCCCCTCCCCACCACAAGCCATAGGGATGTAGGACAGGGGCTTAAATGTGATGGCTGTGTCATGAGACATGTATACATGTAATGAGTCATGTGATCCAGGGCCCTTTTGAGAGTGAAAGAAGGTGCTATTAACAATTAATTGAGACAACAGGCATAAACTGGGATTGTCCTGGGTAAACCTAGTCACCGTAGTGAGTACTGCTCACCCTAGTAATCATGTGGGTTTACATCTTTATTTGAGAATGAAATTCGTCAAGTAAATCAAAACATGAAACGTTTTAAATATCTACCTTGTGCTAGCCCTGCTCTAGGCCATGGGGGTGCAGCAGGTATCAAGAGAAACAAATTCCATGAGCAAACAAATCATACATTATTAGATGCTACTATGTTTATATAGAAATATATGGCAGATAAGGGATATGGGGATAGCCAGGGCCTGGAGGAGTGAGGGCAATGTGATTTTAAATAGCGAGCTCCGGTAAGATATGGAAGACTGAATTGTTGGTCACCAGTGCTCTCTACCTCTCCCTACAGGAGAAGTGTTCATCCTCGTTCCTTTGAAATCAGGCTTGGTGGTAGGAATGAACATTGGCCAATGACATGTGAACAGAAGTGACAGGGCTTTCCCGGTCACTGCCTGCTCCCCCACGCTCTTTGCCCTCTGCCGCATCACGAAGCAGTGTGGAGGTAGTGGCTGCCCCGTTGGGACCTGAGGAGGTGACTGAAACGATCGCACAGATGTGTGGAGAAAGCATGTTCCACGCAGAGGAACAGCAGGTGCAGAGGTTCTGAAGAGGGAGCTTGCAGGGATCAGAAAAGAAGCCGGATTTCTGGAGGCAATGATGCAGGGGTGTTGCTCCAGTCAGACTTTCATGCGGCTCATGGGTTGGAGTTAGGACTTAATCCTGTTCATCCAGTGAACCTGATCACTCCTCTTTTCCTCTCCAGGGTATGGAGTGGGATGGCAGGAGTGAGAGGAACAGAAGAGGGTAGGAAGGAAAAGCAGATCTGGACAGGGAGGTGCAGATTGCAGATCAGGGTTCCAGATCCATGGGAAATAGACCCTACTGTAAAAAAAAAAAAAAAAAAAAGATACTGTCACCATGTTGAGATCGTGTGGGGCCTTTGAAGTCTGAGAGCTGTCATAAAGGAGAGGAGTCAGTGCATCCAAAGTATGCTCCTCAGGGACTGTTGATCAGGACATGCCCCCACCCCCACTTTGTTCTTTTACACCCATGACGTTCTTAGAGGCACACAGAACCCAAGGGGCCCCCAACAGATAAACCAAGGCAGCAGGGCCACACTTAGGAATGTACCGGGCACTGGCCTGCAAAAGGGGTAACGTTCCCTTTGAGCACCATAAAAGATGACCGTATCAGCCACAAGTTCTTTCTCTCCTTAAATCCTGATAATTCTCTATTCTTTCTTATTAAGTCTTTGATTTCTTTCAGCTCTATGCAGCCTGGAAACCACAGATCCTCCCAACTAGCAGTTGCTAGTAAAAGAGAGTCTGAACAACTAAGGCAGAGTGGGCAGCTATTGAGACTGATGCAGGAGGGAGACGGGATTCTAAATATCAAATCCTTTTAGGAAAAACGTGGTAAAAGTTGAAAGCTAAAATGTTCCATGGTGATAAAATCCTACTACGCGTTCATCAACCCCAGAAGTGGCCATGAAAGATTCTTTAGAGGAAACTCCCATTAAACATTTGGGTTTCTAAAGGCTAATGGCCTCTTTCGGAATGCAATTATTAATCTCAAATCCTCCATGCAAATTGATTGCCTGGATTACTGAACAAACTACCATCTATCACTCCTAAAGATAGAAAAATACTTTCAGGTTTGTAAGAATCTCAAACATCTGTATGTTAGCTGTTTTCTCTCTGGTTAAAAGAAAATTTAACAAACAATTGCTCTGGTAGATAGGTGACCCTGAAACAATGCATGCAAAAGCATGGCCATCCTCCTCACTTCTTGTCAATTCCTAAAGAAATTCTATTCATGATGGAAGCAAATTGGAATAAAAAGGGAAATTCCCCTCAATTTAGATATTGCCAAAATCATTGGGACTGAGGCCCTTGCTGAAAATAATGAAATGGTCTCAAGGTCTGAGAAGGGAGGAATGCATGGTATCAATAGATGCCAGTAAGAAAGGCATTGTGGGGGTGTCTGGGTAGCTCAGTTGGTTGAGTGGCTGCCTTTGGCTCAGATCATGAACCCGGGGTACTGGGATCGAGCCCCACACTGGGCTACCTGCTCAGCTGGGAGCCTGTTTCTCCCTCTTTCTGCTTGTCTTCTCTATCTCTGTCAAATGAATAAATAAAATCTTAAAAAAAAAAAAAAAGAAAGGAAAGAAGGAAGGAAGGAAGGCAGGCAGGCAGGCATTGTGCAGGGATCAATAGCAAAGGTGTCTTGGAAGTCCAAGGCAACTCAATATATTACAATGCAGTGGGACTCACCATTTACCTCCTACTCTTTCCAGAATCCACCCTTTGAGCCACTGTTCCTCCCAGGGGTAAGAGGCATTATTGGCATTTGGGGGAGGATGATTCTTTGTTGTATGGGATTGTCCTATGCATTATAGGATGTTTACGCCCTTGACCTCACTCACTAAATACAAGTAGCACTTTCCAGTCACTGACACAGAAACATCCCCAGACTCTCCCTAGAGTAGACATTACTGTCCCAAGTGAGAGCCCTATGAGTCTGGACCATATTAATACAAGAATAAGGTGCCATTTGAACATAGCTGTGAGGATGTACCCCTGCAGGAGCTGACTGAATCATCAAAGATGGCCATTCTGTCCACATGTAGGACAGGAAAAGGAAAGCAATTAGCTCTATTTGCTGGCAAAGAAATCCCAGATAATCAGAAAGGCTGCAACAGCCGTACGATCAGAGAGATGGCTTTGTTGTTGGTAATAAAGTGAGTTTTGAAAGAAAATCAAAGACTGAAATGAGCTGGAGACAGTGTTCAAAAGAACTGATCTGTAGTAAATAACTCATGTTGTCATTGCTCTTCTGGAAAGGGGCAGGAGTGTTTCTTTGAAGATGAGTTGCAATCTGCCTGATATTTTCATGAAAAACAGAGGAGACATGCTCAGATTTTAGGCTCATTAGGTTCAAATCAAAGTTATTGACCAGCTCCTTACTAAGTACATGCTGTGCTACTTAGAGGGTTCTGTGTGAATGGCTGCCTCGGGCGGCAGTTTCAGGAACTCCCCAGCGTTCTCTGTTACTGCTGAGGATCTTTCTCTCTTCCACTCTTCCCATTGACCCTTCTCAGCCCCTGACTTCCTGCCTTATGTCTCTGGGGCCAGATCATCTTTGGGGAGGGTGGGAAGCGACACCTCATCCTGCTATTGTGGGACCCCTTGCCTGCCCCTTCTTCCCTTGGCTCTATAATAGCCACAAAGACTGTTTGCCAAGCCCTGGGCTAGGGCTTTTTTTGTTTCTGTTAATATTAAAGTAGGTCACCAAAGGAAGTTTTAACAATTATTCCTCCAGAAGTTTGTTTTAATTATTTTTTTGAAAGAATCTCAAACTCATAGAAAACTTACAAGTACAATACAAAGAACTTCTTTCTCCATGATTATTTGAGAGTAAGCTGCCAGCCTGATGCCCACCACTTCTGATTTTCCTATAAACTAGGACATTCGGCTACACAACCCAATGGAACTCTCAAAATCCGAACATTTAAATGGGTACATTATTACCGTCTAATCTCCAGACCCCATTCAGGCAATCCCAGGAATGTCCTTTTTTTTTTTTTAAGACTAATTTATTCATGAGAGACACAGAAAGAGGCAGAGATATAGGCAGAGGGAGAAGCAGGCTTTCTACAGGGAGCCTGGGGTCACGACCTGAGCCAAAGGCAGATGGTCAACCACTGAGCCACCCAGGTGCCCCCCAGGAATGTTCTTTATAGCAAAAAGATCCAGTTGAAAATCATGTGCTGTGTTTAGTTCTGTCTCTTTAGTGTTCTTCAGCGTAGAGCAGTCTTGTTCACTCTTACCTTGGTTCTCATGACCTTGGTACTTCTGAAGAGGACAGGCTAGTCATTTTGCAAAATGTCCCTCAATTTGGTTTTGTCTGCTGCTTCCTCATAATCAGGGTCGGGTGATGTACCTTTGGCAGGACTACCAGAGAATTTGTGCGGGGTCTTCTTGTTGCATCTGGTCAGGTGGCAACAGGATTTCGATTAGTCCCATCACTTAGGTCACTTGATTAAGGTGACATGTGCCAGATTTCTCCACCATGAAGCTATTCTTTTTCCATTTGTAACTAATAAGTATTTTATGGGGAAGTACTCTGAGACTATAAATAGCCTGTTCCTCAGCCAATTTTCAATTATTTTATGGATTTGTTGTTTTATATTTTCATAAATGGGCTATCATCAGTTACTATCATTATTTATTTTGATGCTCTATTTGTTCCAGATGTAGCCAGATGATCCCTTTCCAGCTGGCCTCTATTCCCCCTTGACAAGCCCCTATCACAATTTGAGCATTCTAGAACAATAAGATATACCAGTCCCATCATGTACTTTCCTATAACCACCCTGGAATCAGCCATTCTTCAAGGTGGCTAAGTGCTCTGGGTTGTTGGGCTACTTGAATGGTGGACCAGTGGATGTCTGTCCATGTGTGGGGCTAGGCTACCTGTGTCTCATACTACATGTGTCCACATCCTTCTTGGATGCTTTGGATTATCTACTTCTCTGTTCCTTGTTTTACCAGAGAAATTCTAGAAGACAGACCATTTACTAAAACTCTTGTAGATGGGGAAACTAAAGCTCAGCAATGTAGTATGATATCTAGCTGGTAGCAAAATTAGAGTCAAAACTCCAGATCCCTTCTCCTTTTCTAAAACCACCCACTGTATCATACAACTTTCTTCATCATTAGCAAGTACAAATCTTTTTTATTTAGCTACTAATTGAGTTAGTGGAGGGTGTGTGTGTGGAATTAAAGCTAGTAATTTATTAAAGCTTACATCAGAGCAGAAGGGGAAAATATAATATTTTGATTGAAAGCATAAAATTTTAAAGAATAAAACTGGTTGGTGTCTAGGGAATTCTTTAGATTCTTGGTGTGGAATCTTTTCTAGAACACATTGATAGGAAAGTCCTTTGTTTCAGAAGAGCTAAGAGATTCCTGTATTAAGAATTAGAGTTCCCAGAGAGGTACAGAAGTGAGATCAATTCTGGCTTCATATTGTCTGTTATTAAATCGCTCAGTTTATTTGCTACTCCTTTAAAAACACAAAGGTGGAGATTTTAATTAGAGATAAATAGTCTATATGATTACTATAGGGAATAGAGAAAGACAGTGTCTGAACTGTGTAAATGCCCAGCACTATCTACATTAAGGGGTCTTTACTACACTTGTGCCATGGATCCTGTTAGCATATGCTGAAGCCTACCGACCTTTTCTCAGAATAATGTTTTTAAATGCAAAAATGAAAATATGTAGGATTGCCAAGGAAAAAAGTACTGAAATGTAGTTATTAAAATAGTTAAAGAACAAATGCATGATATTATAATGAATATATGCCTTTAAACTTTACTTTTTTAAAGATTTTATTTAAATTCAAGTTGGTTAATATATATTATTAGTTGCAGGGGTAGAATTTAGTGATTCATCACTTGTACTTAACATCCAGTGCTCATTCTATCAAGTGCCCTCCTTAAATGCCTGTCACCCAGTTACCCCATCCCCCACCACCTCCCCTCCAGCAACCCTTAGTTTGTTCCCTATGGTTAAGAGTCTCTAATATATGTTTTGTAAATTAATACTTAAATAATAAGATCTAGTATCAGAACTAATAACTGTGGTAATTTCAAAGTGCTGTGTATTAGTCTCCTTGGGTCGCCATAACAAAATACCATAGACTGGGTGGCCTACACAACAGAAATGTATTTTCTCAGCATTCTGGAGACCAGAAGTCTTAGATCACAGTGCCTGTATGGTTGGGTTCTAGGGAGGGCTCCCTGACTTAGAGAAGGCCACCTTCTCATTGTGTCCTCTCGTGGCCTTTCCCTAGTTCCTGCACATGGACAGACAGAAAGAAAGATCTTGTCCTCTTTTTATAAAGCCACCACTCCTATCAGAATGGCTCCCACTCTTACAACCCTAATAACCTCCTAAAAACCCTATTTCCAAATACAGTCATGTTAGGGATTGGGGCTATCACTTGTGAATTTTGGAGGGCCACACTTTTGTCCATAGCATAGTGATAGGCATAAATGATATTTTAAAACATCTTTTGCAGACTATCATGTGATATGAAAATAGCTGTGAGCTATTGGTAACAAAGTCATAGGTACCACTACTAATAGGTTTGTTGACTAAATTTATTATGAAAGAAAACGCTTAATTTCCAGTTGAGGTTAGAGAAAATAAATATGATTTTTCCCCCATCCAGATTCACAGCCACCCTGAACTTTTATGCAAAGACCATAGATGAAGAACTCCTGAAACATACAAATAAGATGTTTTTGTTTTGAGCTAACAAGTCACATAACCCCAGCATGGTGGGAATCAGTTCTGAAATCAGCTAATTCTGACCATTACCAGTCACCTAAGAACAGTCATTGTGGTGAATAGAAGAGACATCACCTGCTTTTGGCTTTTTTGAATATGTGTCCAAGTACTGGAATGTGTTTTGTCTTACAGACACCAGTAACCTCAATACTGAACAACATGATTCCGGGACCTCTGAGAACTTCTGGCTTGACCCTTCTGTGCAGGGCCAAACGGAGACCAAAGCAGAGGATGACGGGCTTCGGAAATCCCTGGATAGATTCTATGAAATGTTTGACCATCCACACCCAGCTGCTAGAAACCCACTCTCCACATCGGTCTGCCAGTGCCTGTCTCAGAAAATCAACGAACTGAAGGGCCAGGAGAGCCAAAAGTATGCCCTTTGCAGTTTTCAGATGGCCAGGGTCATCTTCAGCCGGGATGGCTGCTCGGTCTTACAGAGGCATTCCAAGGACGCCCACTTCTACCCAGTGGGAGAAGGAAGTGTGCTTCTGGAGGACGAAAAGCCCACCCCGGGACTTTCAAAAGACATCATTCATTTCCTCTTGCAGCAGAACGTGATGAAAGACCTCTAAGTAGCCCCCCTCCCCCCTCCCCCACCGTGGTAAGAGCAGGAAGTGTGGAGGGTGCCCTGTGGCCGATGCTATGGGTGCACCACTCATATCCCCTAGGGCCTCTCCAGCCAGCCCTGTGTGTCCAGCCCCCGGGGAGCCAGTTGGGCCAGTAGCGTTTGTGGACTTTATAGATCCTATGTCCACACTACCTCCCACCCCACCCTACCCGTCCCTTTGACTTCAGGCCACTGACTGGCTGGGAGCCCAAAAGCACAGCTTCCTTGCCCCAAGGAAGGAAGGAGGTGCTCTGAGGCATAATTTACTCTCCAGAGCTCCCCTCTGGATCAGGCCAAGACTGAGACTTCCCACGATATCACACCTGGCTCAGCCTCTTCTGTCTCCCTGTCCTCCTTCTGCTCACCTACTGGTGTCTCCTGGAAGCCTTTCCTTAAAAAAGTTCTTGTACCTGAATCCTTGACTCAGAGTCTACTTCTTGGGAGAACCCAACCTATCAGAACAGGCTTTCTCATTAGATGAGCTTTTTGAAGGATTTAAAGCTCTGTGCCAAATCAAGTAGAAGAGTCATACCAAGTTGTAAAACTGAGATCATGTGATTGGGAATGTATCTCCCAAAATAATCTAAAGATTTAAATACGGTTTAAAATGCATCACATGTTAATCATACCCTTGCCTCTCCAAAGCCAGAATTCCCTGTTTTATAATCCTAGCAGGGTGTGGAAGGAACATTTGGACCCTTTAAAATAAAGCTAAAATTTGCAAATTAAAAAAAAAGAAGAAGAAGAAAGAAAGCCTCTTTGTCTCCACCAGATTGCAAATGTGAAAGGTGTGAAGAAAACAAATATGCACCACCGCCCAAAGTCTGTAGGCTCAATCAGCCATGCTAGGCTGAGGAGACACGGCCTTGGCAGGCCTGGAGGAAGAGAAAGAGGATCCTTTGCCCAAGTGGGCTCCTTCCTATCATTTTTGCCTTCTTCCTGCCTGCTGCCAGCACCCTCTGTCACCCTCTGAACAGGTGGCCCCTCACCCCTGTCCTGTCCTTGCTTGGCCGGGCAGTGGCTTTAAATAACTGGGAAACGAACAAGGGGTGGTGGAAAGGGAGGTGGGCGGGGGGTGAGGGTGACTGGGTGACGGGCACTGAAGGGGGCACTTGATGGGATGAGCACTGGGTGTTATGCTATATGTTGGCAAATTGAACTCCAATAAAAACATTTTTTAAATAAATAAATAAATAAATAAATAAATAAATAAATAAATAAATAAATAGCTGGCACCGGCTTGCGCTGGCAGATGCTTTGCTCCACGGCCGTGTCCTGAACCCCGGTTTGAGACTCAGGTGGTAGAATGACATCACCTGGCACCAAGCTCTCTGAAGCTGTAATTGGAGGGCTCCTACTAATCCTTGCCTTGACAGCCCTGGGACTAAATTACACTGATGGAAAGAGTTATATCATTTGGGGGAACAAGAGAAGCTGGCAACCCTGTGCAGTTAGATTTTGAGAAACTTTAGGTGAAATTTGATTGGCCTAAGGCTCCATAAGTTTGCCAGAAAGTAGATTTTGCACTAGATCATCCTCAGAGTGTACATTAAGAGTGACTGAGCCCTCTCAGGCAGGGCTCTTGGGGACTCTCGGGTGGAGAGAGGAGACTTTTAAAAATCAGGAATTACATAGTAAGTAAGGCTTCCAGTTCTGAGACGATCAGAGAAAGAACAGTATTTCACACTGAAGTGCAGAAGCACCGCTGGAAGGCAGTGCTTTTTTTCCTAAATGGTAGGAAATAGGAAATGAGTAAGTCTTTGAGAGATACTTGAGGAAACAAGCCTCCAGGTTTTTCTCTGATGAACAATCTTGTGACTCTCTCCCCAGAGGCTTCTCCTAGTCCCCTGGCCCCCAAATACTCGAAACCTGCAGGACTTGTTGAAAACGTGCAGGTTGAATTTTAACGTCGGTAGTTTTATTGTTTTTTAGCATGAAACAAATTAGTGGATGCCTCTGAAGGATGCTGTACTTTTTGCTATTATTCAGGCACTGAAAGAAATATTGGAGATTAGTTTCCATGGCCACCAACAGAGGGAAACTGGGTTATTTTCTTCTGTTCTTACAGGACAGAAGATGGAAGCCACTTGAATCTCCATGCAGGAAAACGGCAGCTTTGGTTTGGCAGTGAGATGTTAGTATCAGTAATTTTTGTGACCTTTATTATTATGGGTGCTGAGGGTGCTCAGCAAGAGGTAGACTCTGAAGTGGGAGAATTCAGAAATCTAAAAGCCAGAATCACCTTAGGGTATAAAAAAAAAAAAAGGAAAAAGAAAAAAGAGTGTGCTGTGTGTTTGCTGGTATCTGAGTAAGTGCTTGTGACAGGTCAGTACAAGATATTTGATTCCCTGCAATCTCACTCTCTAATTTGATCTTCGTGAGGGTAGGATGGCATTTTTCCATTTATCTCTGTTTACCTTTAATAAAGACTAAGAGATAAGGATATTAAGGCTCTGGCCTTTGGCATTATCATCTATTTCTGCCCTACATATCGCTTCACCGAGGTCTTATCATCCCGTGAACATTCTGATTGGCCTACAATATCCTCTGTGGACCTTTCCAGAGGTCTGTGTGAGGGTATATTTGCTTGCAGGAACATCAGAACTCTGAAGAGAAACTGCTACCAATGTTTTACATTTGTGTGACTGCTACTCACTTCATTAGTCATTTCTTTGCATGACCTGTGTAAGAGTACATGCCATAGATCTTATTACCAGTAATTAGCACAAACAATATGGAGATACTTTTCAAACCTTTTGCTGAATTATCCTAATCACACAGAAAAGAGTTTCTAAGTGAACATCTTGATGATTTTCACAAACTGAACCCACTTGTGCACCCAGCATCCAGCTCAAGCAACAGAGATCACCAGCTAACCCAGGTGGCTCCCTTCTGAGTGAGGATTTTCATCTGGAGAACAGATGAGAATTGTTTGCTCAGACCACTTGTTTCTCAAACTGCTGGCAGTATGCTGTAGGTACTACGTGGACAATGTTTATTTTCATTGTTAGCTATAACATTTAATATGTTAGAAATATATATAACTACTGCATTGAATCTGTGCTTTTACAGATAGCATGTAGGATAAGACCAATATAAATATTTAAGATTTAAAAGTGAATTTAATTAGGGGCACCTGAGTGGCTCAGTTGCTTAATCTGACTCTTGATTTTGGCTCAGGTCATCATTTCACAGGGGTTGGGAGATCAAGCCCTGTGTAGGGCTCCGGGCTCAGCAGAATCTGCTTGAGAGTCTCTCTTCCTTACCTTCTCCCTCACCACCCCCCACCCCCACTTGTGCTCTCTCTAAAAAAAAAAAAATAAATACCCTTTATAAAAAAAGTAAATTGAATTTGCAAAAAAGTAATAGTGCAGACAACGTATAGATATGTCAAAAATTATACAGGCATTATACCAGAAAATGATGGAAATTTGGAAGACAATCAGATGTATAATCTATCCTACATTATAGTATCCCACCATCTCTCTCCTGGAACATTGCAAGAAACTTCCATCAGGTCAAGCTACTTCTTCCTTTGCCTGTCTTTACCTGCAGACATGTTGGAAATCCTTTTAGAAAGCAAAACATATGTGAATCGCCAGTAAATTAAAGAGAGGGGACTAGCCTTGTCAAATATGAAAACATTTTTAACTCTACAGTAACTAAAGCAACAACAAAAGTAGACCAAAGAAAAAGAGTTCAGCCCATAGATATAAATGCACATATAAGTTGAGAGTTTGATGAAGGTAGCATTTCAGAATTGTAAGAAAGCAGAATTTTTAGCAGATGGTTTTAGAATAATTGGCTCCCCAACTAGGGGACAAGAGTAAGAAAGGCTAAATTCTTCACCTCAGTCTTGATATCAAAATGAATTTGAGATGGATTAAAAATGAAACGTAAAAAAGATAAAATAATAAAAATGCTAGAATAAAAAATGCATGATATACATACATCTGCACTAGCAGTGCCAGCAGGCCCAGTGTCTCCCAGCCCATGCAATGGCCAATGGTGACCTAGGGCATTCCCCTACATCTGCCCGATAATATCCATGTAGGCATATCACATGCAGGGATCCAGTGGGAGCTTACGCAAAACCAGAACAAAGTAGACCAGAATAGCATTGCAAGGGCTCAAAAAACTGTCATTGAAACTATAGACTACAAAAGTAAACCTTAAAAAACAACCCCAAAACTTAAACAGAGTGGCTGCCTACTAAAATAGAAGATTTATATAAGATTAAGAGTATCCTAACATAATTTGCAAAATGTCCAGGATACAGTGAAAAAACAAAAAGTAACTTGTCATACCAAGAACCTGGAAAATCACAACATGAGTGAGAAAAGATAGTCAACTGACACCAATAGTGAGATGAATCAGATGTTAGATCTGGCAGAGATTTTAAAGCAGTTACCATAAAATGGTTTCAGCAAGTAATTATGAAATCCCTTGAAACATATGAAAAAATATAAAACCTCATCAAAGAAATAGCAGTTACAAAAAAGAACCAAGTGGAAATTATAGAACTGAAAAGCACAGCAACCAAAATTAAAAAAAAAAAAAAAACTCATTGGATGGGTTCAATGGTAGAGTACAGATGACAAAAGATGGCATCACTGAATTGAGAACAGTTCAATCAAATTTATTTAATCTAACAAACAAGAGAAAAGAGACTGGGGGAAGAAAAGGAATCTGTGGAACAGTAACAAAAGATATTAACATGGATATCAGAATCCCAGAAGGAGATGAGAAGGATTGTGGTGCTAAACAAATACTCAAGGAAATAATGACTGAAAACTTCCATTTGGTGAAAGACAAAACCTACAGTTTCAAGAGCTATGTGAACCTGAACTAGGATAAATTTAAATAAATCCTCATCAAAACACAGCATAATTAAACTTCTGGAAACTTAAGGAAAAAAAAAACTTTTTTTTTTTAAGATTTTATTTATTTATGAGAGACACAGAAAGAGAGGCAGAGGGAGAAGCAGGCTCCACACAGGGAGCCCAATGCGGGACTCGATTCTGGGACTCCAGGATCATGCCCTGGGCCAAAGGCAGGCGCCAAACCGCTGAGCCACCCAGGGATCCCAGAAAAAAAAAATCTTAAGAGCAACCAGAGGAAATGATGCATGCCTTAGTTCTACACAAGTACCAATTCAAATGGCAGCAAATTTCTCATTCGAAATCATAGAGGCCAGAGGAAAATGGCACAACATTTTTCAAGGGTTGAAAAAAAAATTGGCAACCATGTCTTTACCAGGCTCATCCTGTAGTTCTAATTTTCCATGGGACATTCTACTCAGATGTGTCCTTGTCACCTTAAACAAAATGTATAAAAAGTCAAATGTATCCTCTTTCCCACAGGCTAATAATACCCCCATTTGATGTATGTCATCCATCAATGGCATTAACATTTGCTACGTCACCCAGGCTTGAAGAAATTTGGACTCATCATGACTTTTACTTCTAAACAGTACACAATAGCCCGTAGTGGTCATTAAGAGCTGAGATCTAGGACCCCCCTGCCTGGATATGAATCTTGACTCTATCATTTATTAGCATGCGTCCTTGGGCATGTTACTTGAACTTACTATGCCTCAGTTTCCTCATCTGTAAAACAAATAGCAATTGTACCTAATTCAGGATGCTCAAATGAGTTCGGATTTGTATGGTATTTAGAATAGCACTTGGTAGGCAGTGTTGGTTTTTGAAGTTTTTTTGGTAGGTGTGTGTGTGGTTGCTTAAAAATTGAAATTCTTAACTTCTGCTTCTTCTTTCTCTTCCTACTGCTATCACCTGCTCCAAGCTTTTATCTCCTTAAGGCCCTCTCAAGGTTCCTGTTTCCAGCTATTCCCACACACTATTGCTGCCATATTGGTCTTCCTAAATCTAGTCAGTACTGGATCCCATCCCACCCCCCACAGAAACTCCCCAAGATCCTTAACACTGCAAGGTGAAGCACAGACCCAGGCCCACTCTAACCTGAGTGTTTCTTCCCTCTTCTCAGTCCTCAGACCTTATGCCCAAGCTCCATGGCCTCCAAACCATTCCATTCCTTCTCT